GGAATTGGTGGTAGATGAGATGCTAGTTGTAAACTTAATCCAAGTCTTTTTTTGGCTTTGACATCTGACGTGCCAAGCATGGGCATGGGCACACTGGAAAGCGACATGGTTGGTAAGAGTGGGATACCTGCAATAAGTATCCCACACCTGTTTCTGAGCCTTCGATGCCTGCTGACAGGCTGTAGACCACCATGAACGAGGATACTGTGGGAAACGTGTTGAGGTTTTAGGCATAGAATGAACAGCTACCTGAATGAAGCAATCAGTTACTGCCTCCACACAGTCATCAATAGATGGAAGACTAACGACTGTAGGATCAAGTTCCAAGAGAGAGGTGAAAGAGAGCACTCAGGTATGGTGGCATCAACCTCGGCCAATCTCCCTCAAAATGATAGGAAAATGATCACTGCCCTCTAAGAAAATCGAGAGAAAAGAGAAGGGAAGCAGATAGATAAATCAATGGCAGTAAAAGACTAACTAGGTGCAAGAAAATAAGAATAAGAACCAGTATTAAAGAGAGAAAGGTTGTGATCCGAGAGCATACGCACTACGGAACAACCCCTCTCATTAATATCAGCATTTCCTAAGAGGGGATTGTGCCCATTATAGTCTCCCAGGATTAAAAAGAGATACAGCAATTGTTCAATGAGAGCATCAAGGTCTGATTGATCATAAGTCTCTCCAATAAACAGAGAGAACAAAGAGTGATGGTATGACTCAAGGAAACACAGATGGTTAGGGCCTCCAAGGGTATATTGAGTGACACCTACAAAGATGTGCACGTGCTGGTCAACCAGCCACCCCTCCATGCACTCGTCCATCACACAACCTGTCATTCCAGTATAAAGAAAACTGCCAAAAGGTGACTGTATTGGCAGGTTTCAGAAATGTTTCCTGTATGGAAAGACACATGGGATGACAGTAGTCAATCAAGGCAGTAATGTCAGCCTGATTAGAAAAAAACCTCGACAGTTCCACTGTATCAAAGTGGCCATTTTTACTTAGGTGAAGGAGAACTGGGCAGAGAACCCTTCTGTTTACAACCACGCCATTTTTCTTTACTAGAAGGAGGTCTGTCAACTTCCATGGGTCCTGTCCTTTGTTGAGTGAGCAGATCTCTGTCATTAGACTAAGATTCCAGCAACTGAGAGCATGAACGAATAATCATTTTGCATATTGGGGCCAAAGAGAATGGACCCGAGCAGACACCAGAAGCCAGAGCCAAAGGAGGTGGACCCAGGCAGTCCCTGAAGGGAATGGTGGGGACAGATATAGGATTAGATGTTGACTTGTCACCTTGTTTATCCACTGAGGGCAAAAGACTCTTCACATAATACAAAAAAAGACAGAGGCATATATCCGAGATGGAGTAGGGGACAATATCTTCTGAGCTTTGGGGTAAGAAATGTTGTTAACAGTTTTTAAACACTGTACATCTTTCTCCTCTACCCACTCAGGTCAAGAAGAAAAGTAAGAGGGATGGAAACCATTACAGTTAATGCAGTGAGGGTCCAGTTGACACTCGTAGGCATCATGATCTTTGCCACCACAATGAGTACACGTCACAGAACAACAACAACAAAATGCCTTCGAATGACTGAACCGCTGACACTGAAAACATTGGAGAGGGTTAGGAATATATGGTCGTACCTTACAATGGCAATATCCTGCCTTGAAGGCTGCAGTTGGAAGTGGAGATGCAAATATCAAAATGAAAACATTGGTAGGCAGCATAATTCCATCTTTACGAGTTGAGATATGTCACACCACAGATATCCCTTAGCAGGAAAAACCAGCAAAGATCTCTGACTCAGGGATGTTCTTCAAATCCCTCACAACAATAACTCCTCATCGGGAATTCAAAGTAGCATGGGGAGTACCTTAATGGGTACATCCCCCATGGACTTGGAATTCAGGAGGAGTTTGATGTGTTTTGGTGTAGATGTTTCCACCAAGATGTCCTCAGAAAGTAGCTTCTTGACTAACTTTGGAGAGCCAGCAAGCCCCTCTAATGCCTCCTGAATAAAAAAGGGAGACATTTGTCCTGAAGGTTTTTCTGACAAGGAATGTAAAATCAAAAAACAAGGTACAGGACCAAGAAGATTGAAGATCAGAGTCTTCAAGGCATGGTCGTTAACCAATGAGCTGAGTATTTACTATCTTTTTTTAAGATTTGGAGGATCCATAGTAAGAGGAGAATGGTGCAGTGCCCACTGACCCCACCCACCAGGGAGTCCTAAAAGGGGACACACTACAATGCCAAACAAGGACACTGTAGTAACACCAGGGCTTTGTGAGCACTATACCCAAACACCAGCATCAGGCATAATGTCCACAACACCCACTGAGAATGCCCAACACTGGTACTCAGTTGACCCTAGCCCAACAGGACCAGCCGACTGACCCTATGGGAGCCAACCCAAGACCACCCATCTACAGGAATTCAAGGCCAAAATGGTGTGTTGCAGTGCCCCAGACACCACCCAACCACCAAGATCCTCTCCTCCCCTTCACAGGTCACCATGCATGGCAAACATATGGGTGGATGTTCAGATCCCATAGGAGGTAACTGAAAATACAGAACCTTCCCTCAGAGGTCCCTCGCCATGTACGGGAATCCACCTCGAAGGGGTTTTAGGCAGAAACTCAAAAACGTCTAGAACTTTCAATGGTTAGTAATCATGATGTTTTATATAAAACTAGAAATGATCATCCTGATTCCTAGTAGATAACACTACTTGGTAAGATCTGTAATTTATTCAAATTCAGAATGTTGTTAATTTTTTTTCAACTTTGAAATGTACTTTTTTTAAAGTTGTTTTGTTTTTGAGGGAAATCTTCATCTGTCAGCTAAATATATTTGAACACGTTTGTACATGTGTGTGTCCAACATTCCTGTAGCCTTAGGTTTCACATTAACAAAACTGATGACAATACAAACAGCTAGTAAATATTTTATTACTGTAATTGCAGAGTTTAACATAATGAATGATTTTCTTATATGTTTCTAGAATAATTTAATACTATACGTACAGACCTTAATTATACACAAACTGACCGAGATAACTCTTATATTCTAAGATATCAATTTTATACATACTGACTGAGATGGCTCTCTTGTTCTAAGATATTATACAAATACTAACTGAGATAGCTTTATTGTTCTAGTGTGGCTGAATATTTTCAAAGGCAGGGTGATCTTATGCATAATGTTTCTTGAATACAAAAGAATCTCAATAAACTCAGTGAGTATCCTAATAATTGCAAAATGAGTTCAAATTCAATTTCATGTTGACCTTACACTTCATGTAGCAAAATTACATTTAGAAAATAATATTATGATGTTGTTGGAAAATATTTTCTTTTGTTCAGGAAGAGAGATTTTGGATTGTGATTATTCATAAGACTAAAGCCAAGTGTCTGTTGTGTCATAAATGCACAGAGTATTGGATTTAATGTTAAGAAATTTTAAGAGTAAGGAAACTTTTCTTGTCTTGTATAAAACTTCTTAAGACACAGATATTTACATATAAATTTAATGATACACTGCTGCCTAGAGTTTATAAAGATTAGCAGCTGCCACAAAGAAAGAAGCTCACACACTTTCAAAGATAAGTGGTTACTGGATTTAGTAATAATAATATACTGTAAGTGTGACACATTTCAGACTACTTAGACTATAATGAGAGTCCTCAGTACTACAAGCCAGCACATTCCTATTTTTTTTCACAGACAAGCTGGAGCTCACAAGTTGATTATCACAACTGTGAATAAAATGCACTAACTCTGATGGAGCCTGTTGGCTTTTGATGGATAAGTCTGATAGCAATGTTAAAGAGTAACACAGATAGCATTATGGTATTGGTGTATTACAGTTTATGTGGACTTCATCCACTGATAATATATTTCAAGAAGCCATTAATTCCTTGTCATATTTTTAATTTCTGAACAATGCTGTGCTGCCTGCATTAATTGCTAAGAACCACACTATGGCTCTTTCTGAATGATAATGCATCATGCCATGCTACATTCCACGTCCAACAGGGGTTTGAACATATAACACCCATAATCTACCTTGGCCAACCCAAATCAGCTTTAAAATGAATTCAATTGAATTTCTTTTGGAGACTGATATGCCATATCAAGGATAGAATGGACAACTAGACTCTTAAAAAACTACAATGCAAAAGGAGTGGCTGTATCTTTCACAAGATATAATAAAAACACAAACACACATACCAACAGTTTATGATTAGTTACCAAAGGCCAATTCCCAATTAAAATAGGGCCTAAGAGGAATAAGTTAAAACACAATACATACCTCTTCTCAAGACATAATGTTCTAATACTTTTGGAATTATAATGTATAGATCTATTCAAGCTTGTTACTTGACAAAATAATTTCACCTTTTAGACGTCATTTAAAATAAGATGAATTGATATTATAAAACCAAGAATAGTTTACACGTACAGCTGACCTGTGTGCAAGCTCATTCACAAATTGAGGCTCGAAATGAACAACATCAGCTCCATGTATAAATTACTCTTGGTTTCAGAGGGTAATACGTAGAATGATTTTTCAAATGAGATGGTATATTCTACATGTATGGAGTCTTTTAAGCCTGATTGGAAGCATCTGTTAAAAAAAGAAGCTACATTTATACTTTTTTGGTTAATTGATCAGAAGAATTATGTTTGACTTCAACAGAATGACTATCCTTATGCCTCTGGCTTATTTCTTATGTTTATATTGGTATTAAAACCATTATGAAATGGATGAAGTACAAATGTGTTAAAGTATCATTTTTTATCCAGTACAAAGCATATATGTATTAATTATTGACTCACAACTGCCTCATCTTGCAATTTTTTAAGAGTTTTTTAAATAAAAAATATAAGTAGAGAATAACAAATTTTAACTTTCATTTTTCTATAATCTTGATATACCAGTTTCAACTCATAAACAGGATCATAATACTCTTTCAATTTCCTTTTTTTACCTTCTTCCTCATCACTGTCACTGTCACCTTCTTCCCAAACTGCATTTTCTTCATCTTCCTGATGCTGTCGACGGTTTTGTACTTCTTCTCGCTCTATATGCTCCATAAGAAATGTAGAAAACCTGAACGAAAATAATGTCATACTACTAACCAGACTTTTGATTTTGAGACACTCTCATGCTCCATCACATTCTTATTTCCTGTTTTGGTGTACAGTTAATCATGCTCCCCAAAAATGAATATACTAATTTAAATAGCTGTAAAAATTGCAGATTTTACATGTTCACATAATGATCATATTCTACATATAAGACAAGAATCAAATATCAAACTTTATGTTCATGATTAATGTGGCTTAAAATCTGGAATTTTCTTTACAATTTTGAAAATGATTTGAAAGTATAAAAACCCAAGTTATAAGAGCAAGGCCTGATGCTTGTGGATTGAGACTGCTAGTTCACCATCATAAATCTTGAGTTTGTGATTTCAACAAAATGTAAGAAATACAAGAAGCACTGTACATATGAAAATATTATTAAGTGGTATCTCTATTGAGACATTTATTTACTGGTGAAGTTACACCTATCTTTAGTTACATGGAACTTATACAAATTGTATACGTGGACTTTGTAGTCTGAAAAACAATTATTTTATCATTACATTCTTCTTTTTACCAAATACTCGATAAAGATCACACCCAACAAGAGAAATTACTCCAACATTAGGAATACATAAGCTTTAAAATATGCATGCATCAGTCTTCAGTATTTAAATGGTTGTATATAGAGTATAACTAAAGATTAATACATTAACATATATTAAATAACATGGAAACATTTTTTGTCTAGTGAATACATAAATCACAAACTAGCAAGTAGATTAAACACATGCAATATCAATATTACAGCATATATTTTGAGAATACAATACAGAATTATATAACCACATCACAAACAAGTGCAACTTAGTTGACAAAACACGAGAAACAAATCTAGGAACAAACAAGATATAACCTAGGATGGATAACAGCTCCTTTAGGGAAACATTCAAGTGGTCTGATTTACTGTAGGAAGTGACATAGTGTACTAGCCATAATGAGATACTAAACAATATGAGATAGCTATGCATCTGAAAACTACTTTAAATAACATAAATATAAGGATCAGAGTAAGAGGTTGGGAACAAACAGTTACAAGATCCAAAGACAGCTGTTGGTGGCTAACTAAGTGATATTTAAAGCTTGAAAAGAGAATCATTAATATGATTGGCTCATGTGCATAAATAACATCATCATTTGGATTCAAATACTTATGAACAAAATACATTTCCATGTTTGGAGATGATTCTCACACAGTAATTACATACAAAATACACTACATAAACATAAAAAATTAGTTAATTAAAAAACCAGTCAGTCATCAATGAGCAACAGTCCATCATAATAATGAATTAAGTTAACAATTAGTGTACAGCAGTTCTAATTAATCAGCAGCCCATAAAGAGCAGAATGTAACTAGATTCAGCTTCTCTTTAAGTTTTCACCATTTAATCACTGAATATGATATTAAAAGGCTTAATGAGTAAAAGCTGTATTTAATTAAAGTATATATATATATATCACTGTTCTATTTATATTTTTTAAATCAAGATCTACCGTGAAACACAGTATTTGTAATAACCTTAAAAGTTTCTTTTGATTAATATTGAGTCTCATTGTAAAAAAAACAATAGTTATCAATAAACATTTTGTTAAGTTTTACCATATCTTAGTCTCCTTAATTCTCATGTAAATTTCAAGTTAGTAACCTGCGTGCTTCATTCAGAAACTTGTGCATTTTATTTGGTATTTTAATAAATACTATTGTGATTCATTGTCCTAACCAACAGTCCATTTCAATATGATAGTGAAGTTTGTCACAATATTTATCTTATGAAGGTTCATACAATATTAAGTAATCACTATACATATTACATATACTCAAAACTTCTAGAACTCAAGCCACTGCTTTTAATATATCTTGAATTTTTGAACAAAAATACTTACCCTTTTTAACTTACATAATTTCTAAGCAAATAATACTGTCAATAAATACTGTTTCTATTTCAAAATTAATTTTCCCACAAATTATATGGAAAATACTCACTTGAAGTCTTTTAGTTCAAGTTTTTCTGCCTCTTCTCTTTCACTATCAGACATGTACTTCTCCACCATTTCTTCATATAACAATGGGTTTCTTTTCTTCATTTCTCTATCACTGAAGTAAGTTCCTTCTTTAATTAGCTTTTGCAATGCTTCATATCGTCTATTTCTAACATTAACAGTGTTTCTTTTGCTATCAAGTCTTTTCTTTATTTCCTTCAAATAAAACTCCACATCATAGATATTTCTATATGGCTCAAAATAAACTAAGTCCTCAAACTCTAAATATTTACCAAATCTTTGTAGGAATAGTGAATGGCTTTTATTTAAAATTTCATTGGCAATTTCCCATTTCTGTTCCACTGTAAGATCAGCTTCTCCTCTTTGCTGATTCTTGAAAAAAGCACTACTTTTGGAAACACGATCCAACAGCATACACCTAACTGCATCACAGTCTTGAGAAGAACCTTGTGCAGAACCTTCTTTCATTTCGATATTAGTACCATCTTCATAAAAACTCATCCTTAAGCTTTGTATCACTTTTGCCAGTTAATGTAGATGTTTATCTATGCCAACCAGAGGGAGTTAATATGCATCAATTTATGTTCATTATTAAAACACAAGCCTGTGAAAGTAAGTAACCTGAAAATAAATTAATGTGCAATTCAGTAAAATAATATTCAATATTTAATTCTACAAAACATGAGAGTAAACATTAACACGTATATTTAACAAACAAAAAGCATAAAACAAGTGAAAAAATATTGGGAAATCCATATACATAAAAAGAACCTTTATTCTACAGGGTGTATTTTTCTTATCAACCTGTTATATACACTAAAAAATCTAATCATATTTTAGAAAATATTTTATAATTATAGTACAAAACTGTGTGAACATGTGAAATATGCTACTTCAAACATACTACAGAGGATTGAGTATGTTATATTAAAATGATTTTGAATAAACACATCAGCACATCACAAGACAACTGCAGCCAAAACAAAGTCACACTGGGATAGCATTTTGACATTGATTAGCGTTTCCTAGATGGTGTATTGCCACCAAATACTGAAGGGTGTGTAATGGTCTTTTCTGAGGCAAAATATTCATACCCTCAGATCTTAAAAATATGTTCAGATCAGGGATTTAGAATTTTCAAGGTGGGTATATCCATTGTTTATAATGGAATTAGAAAACAAAGGAATATACATAGATTAATTTGGGGCACCAGGACCATCAAGAAAGTGACCTGCAATAAACAAAGTGTAGCATCTTGCAACAGGTCAGAATCCACAAACACAAAAGTCTGTGGCAAAAGTTGTCTGTGTGATCCTGGCAACAATACATAAAATCACCAAGAAGAAGTCACATGTACACAATTTGCTTCCACAAAAAATCCACTCAACCATCTCATACCTCAAGCAGCTGAGAGTTAAATGGGTATTCAAGCTATTTCATATGAAGACATACTGGTCAAATTACTGGGTGAAATGCCTATCAATTTCTGTGCAATCAGACAGTTAAAATTGGTACTAAAACTGGGTCATTTAACTAATTGATTGATTACCTATGAGCATCATTTCCATCAACTAGTGTAAAGTAAAATAAATGATTAATCAAAATTACTATTAAATGAATTAATGTCATTAAAAAATCAAATAATCAAAATAAGTATTTCTGATTATTATTGTTTGCACTTATTCCAACTAATTGAAATATTACCATTATGATTTCTCATTACTATTTTCTATTAATTTCAGGATGTTCATCTTAATCTATTAGTATTATGACTTACAAAATTTATCATCTAATCAGAATTAATGTTTCCAATTATTCCAACTTGTGAGAATAATCGATTATTTGAATGTAATCACTTAATGAGCACCATGATTAACTAATTAGCAATTTCCACCAGTTCTAATGTGCAATTAGGTCCAAAAACAAACCCCTAAGGACCCAATTTTTTTACATCTCCTAGTCAGAAAATGCCCATTTATCACCACTTTTTAAAATAGTTCCATAAAAATTCAAGTTTCTAATTAATCTCTTGTGGAGCATTTCTTGAATGCTTTCTGAAAATCATACATCAAACAGTGCAAAAAACAGATGTACCATCTTAAGACACCAACACAATAAGTTGATTTGATAAGAAACCCCCTTTATAAAGCCAATTTGAGTAAAGCTGCATTGCTTGTGAGGTTGTATTCCTTCATTTTTTCAATTTTTATTATGTTTATATTTTATATATCTTTTCCTCTGTCATTAAGTTTGAGCTGTTTCTTGAGTTTGTTTATGCATGATGCCAGCTCACACCCCATTAAAATTAACTGTAACATTATTTTCATAGTGAGACAAAATGACTAACATTGGGTGGCCCCGAGGTCTTTGTAATGGTTATTATAATCATATGTAAATAAGTTTGTCACAGGTTTTGTCAATAGCAAATAATCTTTCTATGTTGAACTGTAATCTTGTCTTGTAAAAAGTAAAAGAGAACTGAAGACTGTTAAGCTGGAACCCTCAAGAACACAGATTTTTGACTATATATTGCTTGAAAGTCAGTTTAACTTGTTATGAGAAATAATTAATTAAGAGATTTTAAAAATGTTGTATTAGTTAGTCAATTTTGTAATAACTTACAAAGTTAACTTTTCTTTCTCATTCCTTTTCCTAACTGCTTGTGTTGAAGATATATTTTTAAGTTTGAAATTCAGTTGTGTCATTTTGAAAACCCCAGGATTGGCATTTTCAAATTGTATATTCTATTAAACTTATAAAAGTTTTAATAAATATTTTTTGTTTTTTCTAAGAATTTTGGTATTAATGGTTCATTCTTAGTGAAGAATAAAAGATGTTAATAGATGAACTCTTTTTATTCTGTTATAACTGTGTCTACACTACCACCTCTCATATCCAGTCTGTGGATTGTTAGGAAACCACCTAATATATTATCTCACAATTGTTGCCATATGGAAACCTGTAAAGGCTCTTATGCTTTTCTGATTCTTAAGAGAAAAGCTGCACAATAGGGCTATATACACTAAGTGGTCACAAGTAAATAGACACCTAATTTTTCGTCATTTAACTGATTTATGCTAACTAATTTGTGTTCACAGAGCACTATTTCAATGAAAATGGTCCGCACACTAATTATCTTGTGCTACAACATGCCTAGAACTCAAGGTTCTCTCGAATTGTCAGATTTTGTTAGTGGAAGGATAGTTGGTCAAGCAGATGGTGGAATAAGTCAGCGGCAAATTTCGCAGGATTTGGTAATCCCACTTTCGACAGTCAACAGAATCATCGTGTAGTTCAGGAAACATGGCAAGGAAACAATTGAGTAGCATCCGGGCAGTCCTGGTCCATCGGACAGGACAAAAAGGGCTGTCAAGAGGAGCATCGAAATGGATCCCAGATTAACGACTGCAGAAGTGGCCAAAGTTGGTGGGATGAGCCCGAAATCTGTTCAACGGATTCTCCACAGATTGGGTTATCCTTGCAGAGCAGCTAGTCGGAAGCCCTTATTAAGACCTACCAACATAGTCAGACGAAAGAAGTGGACAAGTGTTATGATGGCTAAGCCTCTGGACTTTTGGAAGACTGTATTGTTCTTAGACGGATCAAGATTCG